ACCGTGTTCCCAGGGGGCTGCCTGCGGCCAGCAGTGTCCCTGGGCGCTGGGAGGGGACCAGCCGTGCGTGTGGGGTCTGCTGCACGTGAGACACGGGGAGAACAGTGGGGCTCCCGGCTCTTCGCCTGGCTGCCTCGGTGTGTCCTAAGGTAGGGGTGACAGTGTGCTCTCACGGGGCTCCTGCATGCCAGTTAATCCAGTTTAAAATATTTGTAAGCAGTATACCATCCTGCCCCGTCAAGAGTACAGTATGGGCCACTTGTTCCCTGGTTCTGAATCATATTCCAGAAACGTGAGCTCATGCTTCAGACTTACAAGAGATGCTGGTGAGACAGGACTGAACCCCTGTGCCTGCTGCTTCCCTCTAACTCTTGAAGGTGTTGCATCGAGATGTACTGAGGATCTGAATGGTTTACTGCCGTGGATTCTACGGGGAAGAATGTTATGAGCCCAAAGAGTTGTACCAGTGCCTGCTGCAGCTGCCGGTACAGCGTGGGTATGTGCCTAGACCCGTGGTCCAAAAAATTAAAGTGTATTTTGATACTTATCCGGTAAGAAAAGCACTGAGTTGTCTTGGGCTTTCTTTACTGGGCTTGTTTTTATTTAGCAGAATCCTGGGAAACGTAGAGGTCCCATTCATATTCATAAATGGTGTTTCTTTGTAGTGTGTTTTTATCTTCATTGCATGTTTTGTATTAATGATAAACCAATGACTGTTGCTCTGCCCAAATCAGTATTGATATTAGAAGGGTTAATAAAAATTTCAGAACCTCTCTTAATATCAGCCATTTCAATTATGGCATTTACATTCTAATCCCATTTCAGATTGCATGTGAAAATCTCATATTCAGGGTCTAGACAGTTATCTGGATGGGCTCTCGGGTGGTGAGGAACAAGAACTTCGTATTTGCCTGGACACTGCCACAGTCAGTCCAGTGGCAGCTCCCCATAGGACAGACAGAAATTCTCCTTGTGCATTAAGTGGGCTGTGATAAACGCAGATGAAAAATATTAGCCCGTATAGAAACAACACTGGTCAATAAATTGAGCAGAACAAACAGGACCCCTGCTTAGAATTGCAGAGAGAGGTTATGCCTGGTTCGGCAGACATTGACTCTGCGGCAGCCCAGCCTTCAGCCGCCTCCGTAACGCTGGAGGGTCTGGTTAGGAAGGTCACCTTCTGTGTTCTCTTGTTCATAAAATTTTCTAAAAATTAAGTTGAGGGTAGAGAAAAGCACTAAAAAATGTATTCTTGCCACAGAAACATGGTGCGTCCTTAAAAGTGTGGGGCAAAAAGGCAAGTCTGAAAAAATGTCAGGGGGGAATCTGAATGCGGTGGGAAGGCTGTTTGCTCTTGGGGGGGTTCTGTGCGATGCTGCTCAGAGCGCCGGCGTTCTGCGCTTGGGCTTGCTGTGTGAGCAGCCGCGGTACGGGGCCGATGTTCTGCATGGCTTTGAAGTCTCAAGTGCCAAATACATTTTACAAGTTAATTAATTGGAACGATCTATTTTTGCTTCTAGAATCTCAGCAATGCTTTCAGTGGTGGTGTGGATAACAAGCACTAATTATTCCCTGTCCTCCTTCCCAGGCCATCTCCACTGGGCTACGTGAGATTTGTGACCTGGCGGAAGGGAGGCTGGCTGTCCACTGGATTCAAAATGCCTGTACAAGGTGGCAGCGTGGTCTAGTTTCCCATCACTAAAGGTCCATAAGCGCACGGGATTGCTTGCTGGCAGCCTCTCTAACTTAGTGTCAGTGACTTGGTAAGATCAGCTCTTTGGCAGAGCTGCCTTTGCCTTCTCCTCCTCTTCCCAGCCCCAGAGGCTCTGCTGGCGGGGCTGTCCCCCGCTCCACCGTTCCGCTCTGGGGCTGGCCGTGGAGCCGTCGGTGGACGCGCTGAGCGGGACCCGGCCGGCTGGGGCTGGAGGCTGGTGCGGGTGCTCGCCATGGGAGCAGCAGAGCACGTGTTCGATCCTGCTCGCACACGGAGAAAAGACCGTAGTTGCCACCGAGGGAGGGGCATCCAGTGCCCGATTTCAGCTGAGGGGGACTTGGTTTTTGCACAGCTGAACGGGAAAAGATTGTTGCAGCTCTTTGTGTTACATGGAGGGTGCAAAGAGGCACGGGTGGGAAGACACCTGCTGTTTGTTTGTCCTGTCTTTAGCAAAACATCATTCTCTTGTTGCCTTAATCTTAAGAGGAATCAAGTGTTTTCTTACCTGGGATCACTGGAAAATTAATGTAACATTTCCTGTAGAGTGAGCGCTCTGCTGTCTTCACAGAGTGAGATTAGAAACGTGAAGCTGGCTGAAGCGTGGGAGGACTCCCCTGTGTCGGGGCTGGAAAGCCGCTCCTTGTCTCCTTCTGCAGCTGCTGGCTCCCTGCCTTTCCTTTTCCCCTCCTCTTCCAAAGGGTGACTCTCACCATTTCCTCTTTGCGGATTTTTTCCCTTGGTACGGTGTCTTCTTTCCAGTGCTAAAGTAACTTCTGAATGCCTCTTGGGGAGGAGATAGGTGATGGGAATGCTCTGTGTTTGTTTTGTTCAAGCTCTCTGGGGAACACGGTGTGTGGAGAGTGTTCTGAACATGCGGGAAAGTGGAGGAGAAAGGAAGGAAGGAAGGGTTGGTTTTTTTTTTGCAGGGGAAAAATTGTCCAGAATCTTCCTTTCAGTTATGATTAATAGGTTTTTCTTTTGGGCTCTGAATACTGTTTGTATTCAAATTAAGTGGTTTCCGGGGGCGGGGGGACAACTTCCAGGAATAGATGTGGGGAGGGGATACAAACACTTCCCGAGAGGAGGCTGGAAGCGCAGGGTGCTGGGCTGCACGCTGGCTGTGCATCTCCTCCCGCCTGCGACGGCTCCACGCACGGGGCTGGGGGAGGAGGACTCTGCTCCCGCTGCTCCAGAGCCGGGGGCAGGTGCCTGCAGCTGGTGTCCCCGCGGGCTGGGCTCCTGCAGGGAGGGTGCAGGGGTTAGGGCGGGCGATGGTGAGCGGAACGGGCCCGTTGCTCCTTCGCAGCGCGCTCTGAGGCTCGGGGCCAGGCTTATTTCCCCTGCTTTTTCATTCCCCTGTCCCCTGCCGGGAGCTGATGCTCGCGTGGATTCCTGGATGGGAGCTGGAAGCCGGGCAGAGGCTCCAGCTGTGCTTGTTTGGCCACAGGGACCGTTTCCTTCATGGGAGACTGGAAAGCTTGCTGTTGCCGTACCGATAGCTGCGGGGTGTATTGTTCCTTGGCCTGAGCCTCTGCATGTGTAGGGTGGGCGGTGAGGGGATCGCTCTCCTGGTCCCTTCTGGGCCCTGGAAGCCGTGGCCGTAGCGCTCCTCTCCGCTGTGGGCTGCGGGAGGCTTGTCTGCATCACGGGGAGCATCTGTCTCCCTCCTGCTTTTCCTCCAGACCCTCTGCACAAGAGAATTTCGGGTTTCTGGGCTTAGCCGGCCTGCAGTGGGGAGGACACTGCGTGTCCCCTGACGTGAAGAGGGAACGGCAGGCTCCTGCCGTGCTGCAGAGCAGGAGATGCTGGAGGCGCTTGCACGGACGCGGAGTGCCCTCGCTGCTGCTGCTGCTGCTGCCGCGTGCCCTGGTCCCTGGTCACCGGCGCGGGCAGGCACAGCTGTGCTGGACCAGCCTCCGCGGCTGGAAGGGTCCCTGTCAGACACCTGCTGCGTCAAACTGCCCCTGCCATCCAGTGGTAAAGAAAGCAATTAAATGATAATTCTGGGGAGTAAAAGGACTTAAAAGCGTATGCCCTGATTTAGGTGACAGCTCCCTCGCTGCTGGGAGGACTCATGCTTGGTGGCCACTGCACATTGTTAGTTCTTTGTATTTTCTTTGATTTAAAGCTTCATGCTAGTAATCTAATTAACACTGAATTGGGTTTCCAGTACAGTAGCTTGTTTGGTTCAATAAGAAGACGTTTATACTAAAGGTTAATGAAAAGAATATTGCTTTCATTGAATTCATTAAAAGTGGTTCTACAGTCAAGGCTTACTAATGGAAAAGAGATTAAATATTCATGTCTATAAATTTCTCCTGTCATTTCTGATTTTCCTTAATCTCTGCCTCCCTGAATTGGATTCCAAAAGTGTCTGAAAGCTCTAATGAAATACCAGTTTAGATATTAATTGGAGATTTATCCTGTTGATGTAAAAAGACTTCCACAGATGTATATGTAATCTGTCTTGAGTGCAGGTTTCTCGTACAGATGGAGAGAAATAGTGATGAGGTCTTATTCATGAAAGCAATGCTAGGAGCCCATCTCAAGGAGCCAGTATTACATTCTTAAAGCACTTTTGAAGAAATGCAAATAATGCTTTATCTTCTGTTCTGACAGCTTTATTTGTGCTACTGAAATAGCTTTGAATGAACCAAAAGTGCAGCAAAGTTTGCGTCAGAAAGGTGTTAGCTGGACATGGAGATAAAACCTGAATCATCGGCTTGAAGATTCAAGAATTTTTTATAACGTAGCGTCCAAGTGTATGTGCTACAAATAAACCTGAGTGCTCTGAGTAAATGTTGGGTTGTGGTTTCTGCGATCTCTTACCCAGTAGCTCTCAAAGTTTGGGATGCCCTTGGAGCCGGGGCTTTGCCTTTGCTTCACGTGTGAGCAGAATGTGCTTCTGCCGTTTGTTCTTTGTGTAGGTCCCTGGTATCCCAGTTCAGGGACTGTGAGCGTTTGGGTATAAATAGAGAAGAATGAGTGATTGGCCAGGTCTGAGGGGAAAGCTTGGCCTTAGCAGTAATTGCTGTGCCTGGTCTCCAGCACGGTTCAGAGGCCTTGCAGAGGTTGAGAAAGTCACGACACGGTGGGGATGAGCGACTGGCCGGCAGTCACACACCAGCCTGTGGTGTTGGGTTTGTCTGATACCAGGCAGCCTGACCAGAGGAGCCAGGACGTGATCGCGTAGCCCTGCGGCCACAGCACAAGGTCACGGGCAGATTTGTTATTTGTGACTCCTACCAACTGAGTAACTGGCATTTCTTCTTCCCTTTGGTTTCAGGCATACTTCCGACAGGGTGTGGCCCTTCAGTATCTCGGACGTCATGCGGATGCGCTGGCAGCGTTTGCATCGGGACTGGCTCAGGATCCCAAGAGTCTTCAGCTTCTGGTTGGCATGGTCGAGGCCGCCATGAAGTCCCCCATGCGAGGTAAGCACCAGGAGGTTTTCTTGAGGATGGAGATCTGCCGCTGAGGCATTAGAGGCCGTGGTTTCAGTCTGTGGGTGGCTCTGCCAGCATCTGAGGAGGGGGGGAGCCTGGAGGCCTGAAGGGAAAGATCTGAGGATTTGACTTCTCTGCTGAGGAAGAGGAACAAAAAAAATTCTTCTGATCCAGTGGGGCAGTGAGATGGCGATACCCGGCTTGAGAGGCACGGGGGGTGAGCCAGACTGGTGTTGTGCAGCGGGCCCAGTGAAGTCCTTGCTGGTCTGTCTTTCGTGCGATATCAGTGCAGAGGTGCGTGCTGCTCTGGCCCTGGCTTTATTGGAACAACTTCCCGCAGTGCTCTGGTGCTCAGCTGTTGGGAACAGGGACTCTTAAATGCTCTGGGGCAGCGTTTGCGCAGAAGAGCCCACCAGCAGCTTTTCTGTGGCACTGATGTCTCTCAAAGCACAGTGCTGGGGAGCGCAGAAGCTGCTCTGCTGATTCACTTACACTCAAGGAGAGAGCTGAAATCACACGGACCTTGAAGCCACGTTAGCTCTGCAGCACTTTGCCTCTCTTTCACAGTGTCCCCATTTCCAGGATTGTCCTCTCTGGAGGAAGGAGGTAGTCTTGTCTTGGCTCTCTTTCTCTTGTGAGCTTTGTGTTGCAATGTCCTAATGGTGTTTCCCGAGAGGGAACATGGCAGTTCTCATCCTCAGCAGATTCTGCTGGGGACCCCAGGGCTTAGGGGTCTACAAGCACTGAAATGACAAAAAAAATCTCCATTGGTGTTTCCTGTTTTACAGTGTTTCTGTCCGTCCTCCAAAATGAACTCCTCTGGAAGTTTCTGTCCTATATAGCAGTTCCCTTGTGAAGCTCCTTTAGTTGGGTACCCAGCACCTCTCCTGCGAGGACAGGCTGAGAGAGTTGGGGGTGTGCAGCCTGGAGAAGAGAAGGCTCCGGGGGTCCTTCGAGCACCTTCCAGTGCTGAAAGGGGGCTACAGGAGAGATGGGGAGGCTCTGGATCAGGGGGTGCAGGGATAGGACAAGGAAGAACAGGTTTAAGTTGAAAGAGGGGAGACTTAGATTAGATATTAGGAAGAAATTCTTCACTGTGAGGCTGGTGAGGCTGTGGATGCCCCATCCCTTGTGTTATTCTTTTTCTTCCTTCCTTCTTGTCTCTACCCCTCTCTCTCCCCATTTCCCTGGATTACCTGGCTAGGATCGTAAGCTCCTTAAGACAAGAACTGAGTTTGTACCTGCTCTTGCGCTGATAAGCGGTGGCATGTCACAGCAGCTATTTCTGTCCTCTTGTGTCTGCGTGTAATTCCAGGGTCTGACTGGGTGTCAGTAACTGCCATTGTGTTCATGCTGTTTACATCTTCAGGGAAGTGTTAAAATCCTCTGTTGTTGTTGTTTATACACTTGATGATTGTAGAGAGGCAGAAATGATGAAAACGTGGAGCAAGTGGCTTTCTGAGGTTGCTGTAGTAGTGTTGATTCAGGGGAGAGCATCCAGTCAAGAAATGACACTTGGCCAGCGAATTCTGGAGTCCCTTTATATTGATGTCCTTATTGAAATGTGCAGCCACGTATTTTATCATCTGAACGGTGGAGATAATTAGATCAATTCTAAGTGGTCTTGGCAGGTCCAGTGCTGTCGCTCTGCAGGAGTGCCTTCTCCTGCAGAAGGAGCAGCTGCTTTCTGCAGTTTCTGTCACCTCTCAGCACAGGTAGTGTGTGGTGGTGTCCGGGCAGGCACAGATTCTGCAGACGTTGGGCTGAAAGTTTGTGCTGAAGGAGCAGAAGCTGCTCTTGTACGCTGCTAGCAGCCCATTTCCAGTTTCCTACAAAACTCCCCAGGTGTTTTCTGTGTTCCTTCTGCCATTGGGCCAGTCTTCAGTGCTCGGTACGAGGCTGCTCTGCGTGCTTGTGCTGTCCTCCTGAAGTGCTTTCCGGAAGGAAAACGTCAGCTTGCTGGTTGATCTGTCCTGATGTACTAGATATTAGATGACGCTTTTGAGCCTGAGTTCCTGTAATAAACCTTGGCTTGCTTTGGGCAGTCTGACCCTTCACTCGCCTGTCATTTGGTTACCAAAAAATGCAGATGAGTTGTGAAGGTGCTTTCTAGATGCAAGTGTCTTGGTTTATTGAGTAACTCTGCTTTCGTTTGTGTATTTCAGAGTCCCTGGAGCCCACCTACCAACAACTGCAGAAGATGAAGCTGGACAAGAGCCCCTTTGTGGTGGTGTCTGTGATCGGCCAGGAACTTCTGACCGCGGGCCACCATGGGGCCTCCGTGGTGGTGCTCGAGGCTGCCCTGAAGATCGGCACTTGCAGCCTGAAGCTGCGGGGATCGGTGTTCTCTGCACTGAGCAGTGCGTACTGGTCCCTGGGGAACACAGAGAAAAGCACTGGATACATGCAGCAGGACTTGGACGTAGCCAAGACTTTAGGTGAGAGTTCTCTGCTCGCTGGGTGCTGGGTTGGTGCAGATAGAACAAAGCAGCAGCTGTGTGGATGTTTGTTTGTCTCTGTAATGCTCAGGTTTCTGTGGGATTTCACAAACTGCTAGATAAATCGGAAATTTCTGAAATGGGAAAGCTACAGGCTTGTGCAGTGCTTTTAGCTCTGTGTGTGAGGGGGCAGATGGTCAGTGGATGTGCTAAGGTTTCACAGGGTCCTCTGGTTTTCTGCTGTCATCCATGTGGGAGCTGGTCTTGTCCCCTGAGTAGGCTTGGGCTCAAAACCTTAAATGCCTTAAATGAAGCAATCTTTTTTCAGGAATTAGATGGAAAAACGTATGCAGTCTGAGCTGCTGAGGCAGTTGCCAGGGAAGGAACAAATCAGGAGTGAGACAATGGATGAACAAGAGGGTTTGAAAAATAAATAAATTGGAAAATCCCTCTCGTGTACACTATATCCTGCACAACACTGAGAGCTGTCAAGCTTTCAGGGTGCTGCAGGAGGGGAGACAGTGTGTGAGACAGGCATAATCGTGCAGAGGTGCAGAAGATAGTGACTAGCTAGCAGAGTTCACTGAAGGTGTAGGGACTACTGCCATAAAGACAGTCGTAGGTGTGCTTTGTGCCCGAGCTGTGCTGTGCTGCAGAATTGCTTTCTGGAGGAAGATGGCATGCTCTTTGCTTGTTTTAAGCCTAGGCCATTGACTGACTTCCACAAAAAAATTGCTCATGTCAAGCGAGGAATAAACATGGAAGAATGTGAAATTGCCAAAGAAGAAATTAAAACAATTCTAAAAATAAGGCTGATGGCTATTGGAGAAGTTTGTGAAGGCCAGCCAAGAGGAGAGTTCTGGCTGTGTTTCACATGTAGGGATGAGTTTGTTCTGGTGCTGGTTCTCACACTGGAGCATCACTTGTTCAGCGTGTTTCAGCCTTTCTGCTGGACACTTCCAGCAGCGCCTTCATTAGCTAATCTTTGTTTTGTTTGTGTGTGA